ATTTTTCGTGTGTTTTTGCACACTTTCTTTGTGTTGTGAAGTAATTAATTTCTGCTTTCAAAACAAACTGACAGGTATTAAGACCAGGAGGTATTGTCCTCTTCAGGGACTACGGACTGTATGATCATGCCATGTTAAGGTTTAAGTCGGGCAATAAGCTGGGCGAGAATTTTTACACAAGACAGGATGGGACCCGTTCCTTTTTCTTCTCAAGAGGTCAGTGTAGCATTTGTTTCTTTTTAATCATCTGTTTTACTGCATTGAAGTTAATGTTTTATTTCAATTTTTTTTTTGGTATCCATCTCTTCTTCTCATAGAGTACTTGGCTGGTTTGTTCCAACAGGCAGGATTTGAGACTCTTGTTAACGAGTATGTGTTGAGAGAAACTGTGAATAAAAAAGAGGGTCTGTGTGTTCCCCGAGTATTCCTGCAGAGTAAATTTCGCAAACCTGTTCCATCATTATCACCAGCATAAAAAAAGTCACATTTTTGTAAATGTATTTTTCAAAATGCCATGCATTCATTTATTGTATTTCAGATAAATAGAATTTTCATTCAGGTGTTGTTGTTTTTTAAATCTCATAATGAAATAAAATCTGTATATTTTTCAATTGTTTGGTGAATTTCTTGATTTCAGACTTGAGAATAACATGCAAAGTTAGTGGTGTGCTGGACATTGTTTTATGTTTATTGTAGGGTGCAAAGTTGTATGTAATTATATCATAGATATATGTATATGAAACGGTCAATATATCGTCACTTACAATAAAAAGCAATGAGTTTCAATATGCCACAACATTATGCAGCCTCTGGTTGTAAAAACTGCAGAAATTTTAATTCCTGAAGAAATTGGATAAACTTTCACAGGTAAGAATGTGTTAGTTTGCGTTTTTACTGTGTATTAGCTCAATATTACAGTTTTTTTTTTACCTCTTAAATGCCGTGTTAGCTAATGGCTCTTGTATTGTGTAGTTTAGCAAAATCATCTGGTAAAGCAGATATAGATATTCATTCATGCATATAACTAGAGTTGCAGACATACTCTCGAGTGTTCACGCCACGGACCTGCTTTGACCAGTCCAATATGGCGAACAGCTCACGTATAGCGGCCCACAGAAACAGCCACTTTATTTTTTATGGAACGATATTCCGGACAATTTTCAAATAGAATAGCAAATTGTATTTTCAATTGCGTTTTCAATATGTGGACGCATAAATTGTGACATAATCCAAATGCAATTGCAAATCCTGCATTAGCGTTTGCATTTTCGCTTTCGCGAACGCACAGTGACTGCCACATTTCAAATGAAAAAGCAAAGTCCATTTGCAATTTGCTATTCTATTTGAAAATTGTCCGGAATATCGTTCCATAATTTTTAATGTTGTTTTCTTGATAACATATTGTGTGTTACTGTTCAGAAAAACACGGAACAAGTGGAGGGAAACGGGTCAAATCCATGGAATAAGAATTATGTCTATTTTGTCTTTACATATTTGATTACAAATATGAACTAGATTTACGCAGTCCCTGGTGGTCTAGTGGTTAGGATTCGGCGCTCTCACCGCCGCGGCCCGGGTTCGATTCCCGGTCAGGGAACAAGCTCTTTTTCCACTTGCGAAAACTGTTCATTTGTGAGGTCAAGTCTAGGAGTGACAAATAAAACGAAGATATAATCAGTTTAATAATTAAAAAAAAAAAAATTATGATTTTCAATTTTACGAAAATTCACTGTATTTATTTTCTAAATGCATGGTATTGATCTAAGCAAAATCTCAACTCGATCTTCCGGTGAAACGACAGATCTCGTCTCCATCCAATCAGCAAACGATGGATAGAATCAAATCCCCGCCCTATGTTTTTTTTCCCTTTTCGATCATCACGACTTTACAGAAACTGGTTTTGTGTATTTTTGAGGTTTTGAAGCCCCCCTGCAGTTAAGTGAGTGGAATTCACTGTGGTAAATATATCACTATCGTAATTACTGTGATTTAATTGAATTGAATTTTATATTTAGATTTTTTTGTTGTTGCTGTTTTCGTGTTTTAAATCAAATAAAATAAATCATTTCAATAGAAAAATAACTAGACATATTTAAAACTAACTAGACAATAACTAGACATATTTAAAACGAATTAAGTCAGGTTAAACGTAAAACAATAAAATAGTAAATAAATACATAATTTTAAATGCACATTTAAAATGGTCACCCCTGTTCCGACAGAACAAAACATGTTGGAATATTTAGTAATGTTGTTTTAATACTATGATTAGACATAATTAATAATGATAAATGCAGTGTGCTTATTTTTCTTCTGCGCATAAGCATAATTGACCGTAGCTGAATAATACATTATATTTATAAATAGTATTCATTGTTTTCTTCTTCGTCTTCTACTTTTAAATTTTTTTAAAAAGTGGTCAACCTCAACAAGGGTCATTTCTCAGTATGCGTTCTTGTCTTTACTTGGGTTCTTGTGGACTTCTGAAACGCCATCAGTCGTTGCCCAAGTACTGTTCCAAAGTTCACATCTAGTCAAGTCAATTCAAGTCCCCAGATGTGTTCTTGCTCCACCCCTTTTATCGAGGATGCATCAAGAGGTGACTTGTGCTGGTGCGATCTTGAGGCAGCATTAATCCCACAATGCATTTCGCACCAACCAGCGAGTGTTAATGGCGGAGGAGAAAAGGCGCATCATTTTCAAAATATTATTGATATTGTGTCATGAAATGTACTTTTAAGAGTTTTTCAGGCTGGAATGTAGTTGTTTATAACTCAAATCTGCAGTTTATTTGTAAAGATAGCGCCTACTTGAAAATTTGCTTCGCCGATTTCGGAGATGTGAGCTCCAGGCGATCACCGCGCGCTCATTGCTCATGTTTCCCGCTGAGAGCAGCCTGCCTCGGCTAGTCTTTCTGACATTTGCTACTAGCTCAGATGTCTCTGTAGTGGTTAAACATTATATATTGTAGGTGCCAGATACGGTTTGATGTCTTTTATTTTGAAATTGTCACTTCCAGTTTGTTACGTCATTTTGTATAGGTGCATATTACCTGTTAGTTTGGATGTGGATATCTTGGAGGAAGGGGGTGAGTAGCGGGGACGCTCACTTTCTGTTGACCGTTTCACTTTGTTTATTTAATTTTATTTTGTTTATCTTTTGTTTTCTATCTTACCGTCTTCATGCAACGTGTTGCTGTTCATTTCTATATTGTAATTAAAACCCTTTGCTATCGAAACGCGTCATGGATGTATTCCCACTACTTAGCCCCTTAGCGGGTACTGGCTGCCGCTATATATATAATTCCTTTTGGGGTATATCTAACAGGCAATCTTTGGTCTCATAAATGTATTATTTGTTCTTGGTCATATAGTTTTGGCTGAGCACAAAGTTTAGTTTCATAACTTTATATAGCCTATTTATTAGTGGTGTAATGTAACGAAGTAATAATACTTCATTACAGTACTTAAGTATTTTTTGCGAGTATCTGTACTTTACTTGAGTTTTTATATTTCAGCCAACTTTTACTTTTACTCCACTACATTTCCTAATTAAAATGTATACTTTTGCAAACATGGGACCGCGGATGTTTCATTTTCCACTCAAATCGAGTTTGGGGTGTGCGATACTGCATTGTCTGCGATAATATGGTAAGTGTTGTTGTAATGATGTGCGATCTGACATTATCATCAGATCACACTCAAGAGTGCACATGCACGTTGATTTATTAGTCTATTAAAACTCAAAATTCAAGGCATTCTAAATTGTAGATGGCAAAAATGCTTCTGTATGCTTTTTATATTTATATAATTTAATATAGTTAACTTAATCTATATCACACAAAGAGTACCGTTTTTCTGCAGATATCAGCATGAACACATTTAATACTTTATATTAAGTTCAATAAAGCAATAAGTGACTCACATTTTAGACATAATATTGCTTGTTTTTGCTCAATTTTGCCAACTGTATGTCCCCTCTGCGATACATAAACTGTGTAAATAATACATCTAAATGCTATTTCAGATGCAGATTCCAGAAATATTTTCTTATGTTGGAATGAAAGACACTAGTACCGGATGAAGTGCTTTTTATTCTTACCCAAAAATACAAAATGGAAGAAAGAGTTCATACTGAACACAATCTTGCTACTATGTGTATGAACATTTTGTGTATATATTTGCTTCTTTTCCATTTTGCACTTACTTGTACTTTTACTTTCAATACTTAAGTAGGCTACATTTAAGATTAAAAAAATACTTTTCGTACTTGAGTACAATAAATATCACATACTTTAAGACTTTTACTCAAGTAATATTCTAAACGGTGACTTCAACTTCTTCCAAATTCATTTTCTGGTAAGATATCTGTACTTTTACTCGAGTATGGCTTTCAGGTAGGCTACTTTATACACCACTGCTATTTATCTCACCGTCGTACAGCGCTGATGTAACGTTAGCATTCATTTGACTGAATTGTTTGCTTTTGTGTTTATTTCCTATTGTATAAGCCTCTTATATTTCATACGTTTAATGGCTATTATTGTTCATTAAAGCTGACATTTAACAAAAAGGCAGCGTAGTGTTTTATGTCATACATTTATACAGTGAAGATAATCAGAGTATATATATGCACATAATTGCCTGAACCACATTTTAATGTTTCATGTATTTGTGTGTGTTTTATATTGCATGGTAGCGTTTTATATTTCGTTTTGTTATAAGTATACAGTGAGTGAAGATAATCAAAGTATGTCCACGTTGCATGAACTACATTTTTGTGGCTATTAATATGTTTAAATGACAACGAAAAGAGGCAATGGTGTTTAATATCATATTTCGTCTTATTGTGAACCGGATTATCCAAGGCGAGATGAGAGACGTTATCAAGTACGCGTACTTCATACTAAGAAACGGTAAGCAGTAAGTATGCGAGTTGTCGTGGCCGAGTGGTTAAGGCGATGGACTAGAAATCCATTGGGGTCTCCCCGCGCAGGTTCGAATCCTGCCGACAACGAAGCTTTTTTTATTTTATTTTCAGAACCTTACGCAAACCGAAAGCGTCAGGTCAGCCTCCAGAGCACGTTGATTTTTTTTAGAATTCGACTACTTATATGGTTCATTTCTGAGCGGACTGCAAAGAAATTATCGTTTCTATGGTAACAAACGTAGCGTTCTCCACCGGATAATCATGGCGGATGATTTGGATGATTTACTTGATGAAGTCGAATCAAAGTTTTGTTGTAGCACGTCTGCGTCCAAACGATCAACTTACGCTTTAAACCAAACGGACCATAAATGTGCGAATCCTGAGGACAAGAAACAGTCAAGGTAATTTAGTAGGCTAGCGAGATTAGCACCCGAGCTAACGTAGCTAACGTTACATAAGCCAATTGTTTTAAAACTAAAACCTTTGCGCATACAGTCATTGCCTAACACTGTTGATGCGTTGTAGATGTACATAATGTATGTTAACAGCCTGACTAAAATCCTAAAAAGGTTTAGACAGGCTAACAAAACAGCCTCACATTGTTATAATGTATACATCGTCTCCAAGATCTTAACAAATCCAGATTCTGCCTAGACAAAGTCGTGACATTTCGACTTCCACTGTTTCCAGAAAACAACAAGGCAAAAAAGTTCAGCATGATAATGATGATATTGACGCTATGCTGCAGGAAATACTGGATGAGGATTATCAACCCATCAGCACTCATGTAAGTCAAATAACTGGACAAAACCTTGTCATGATCATTGAACAAGATAAAGATACTGTTCACTGTAAATATATATTTTTTTCAGTTTAATATTGCCAGTTGTTGTTTTTTACAGTGCACATTAATCATCTGTAAACTCTTGTGAACTAACAGGAACCCACTGCAGACAAGACTTCCACAAGTGATTCATGTTCTCAGACAATGTCCAAGAAGTACGTTTTTAGTTTGCATTGAAACATCCAAATATGCCTTTAGAAGTTCTACAGGAGAAATTGAGCCTTTCATGAAACACTGTCACTTTTTCTGCAAACAGATGCTGTCCAGTGTTTCTTGGTGGAAGCTCTGTACCTCACGGTGTTGGAACCAGCGTTTCTCAAAGGTGAAAATGAATTTAGAATCAATCTTGCCTGGACTTGAGGGCCACATGCATATTCTAATGACCACAATATTGGTCATGATAGTCACTTAGATGTGCAAATGTATTCTGTGTCTGTAACTGTGTCTTGTTCTTGAAGGGCCTGCAACCATTTAAGATGTACGTCTTGCGATTTCAGCGTAATCATGTTTGAGGATCACGAGTGGGACTCCTCCTGTGACTACTTATTTTTCAGGTGAGGTATGAGCAAACATATCAGGAGAGAACATCATTTGATCAGGAGAGGGCAGCATTGATCCATGTATCCCACTGTAGCAGATGAAGCAGTTTGTTCATTCATTATCAATTCACTGATATTCTTAGACTGCCTCAGGCAAGCTGGTCTTTGCACAGCATCAGCACGTTCAGTTAATTATGTCTTTGTTAGGCATCATGTTGCCTTCTTACAGATAAGCTTTATTAAATTTGTACATGCTGGTAAAGAAACACTTTTGGACAAGTGTTCAACAACACAACATGCAAGCATTTTAATGCGAACCCTGTTTTCCGCCGGACTGCGTCATTTCCTTATTATCTTCAGCGCTGTGTCTTGCAGCGTCTCACTCAACTTTAGCATCAAACAGACAGTGAATCATTTGCACTATGTCTTTTATGTTGTTTTCTTCCATATTTAGGCCGTGATGCACTTTGCTGAGTGCTCAGACACAGCCAAGTTCTCAAGTTCAAGGGTCTTTGTATTTTAATGATGTTCAAGCTTGCAACTTTAATTAGGAGAGAATGTGTTTGGAATTTGTCAATGAAGCTTTAGAAACTTGAACTTGAAACTTCCGCTTTTAAACGGGTGATAAATCAGCTCATCAAGAAACTATCTGTTCAGGATTGTAGCTGCATATATTGCTTGTATTACTTGCTGTAGTTTAAAGTAAAAGATGGAATAGCATGGAAAGAAACCTTTATACTTCTGAAATATAATTTCTTCCAAATATTTTATGGTTGACAGTCCATATCAGGAGTTTTTAACCATTTACAATAGATGCAGACTGTCTGCAAAAGACTTAAAGGGGGGGGGGGATTTTTTATTTATTTTTTAATCCTACAAATGTAAATAAAAATGGTCCATAAAATAGGCTTTCTTTTTTGTGCAAAATATAATTTTTTTTATTTATTTTTATTATTGTTACACTTATTGTTTTCATATTATTATTATTATTATTTTTATCATCAATAATTTTATTGGGATTATTTAATTTAAAAATATTGAGGGCACAAATTACTTGTTTTAATTATTTATTATGCATTTTATTTAATTAATTTAATACTATGGACACCCTTTTCTGTTATTTTTTCTATGAAGCATTTTATTTAGTATATTTAGGAAAATTTGAACACATATTTCTTTTATGAAGTATTTAATGGAGTGTATTTAATAAAAAAAAATATTTAGGACACAAATTTTAAATCCATTTAAATGTTTGTTATTGTTATTATTATTATTATTATTATTATTATTATTAATAATAATACTATTTATCAAGCATTTTGTTAAGTGTGTTAAAAAAATACCCATTTTGGAGAATTTTTCATATTGATTTTTTAAAATAAAAAATAAGATAATTTAATAAAAAAATATTGAGAACACATTTTTTTAACTTTATTTATTAATAATTA